CGGGGCGGGCCGCGGTTCCGGCAGCTCCCGGCAGCGGTGGACGCACTCGGCCGGCTCTGCGCTGCGGGGAGGGCGGCTCACTGAAGCCGCAAGTTCTCCCGCCGCGCTCCGGACCCAGCATGGCTTTCGCCAATTTCCGCCGCATCTTGCGCTTTTCCACCTTCGAGAAGAGAAAGTCCCGTGAATATGAGCACGTCCGCCGGGACCTGGACCCCAACGACGTGTGGGAGATTGTGGGCGAGCTGGGCGATGGCGCCTTCGGCAAAGTCTACAAGGTGAGGATCCCGTTGACCGCGCGTGCTGGGCCCTGAGAGCCCCTGACCCCCACGCAGCTGCTTCTGAGCACTTCCTGTGTGCCCCGCACTGGACACAAAGGGACGTTTGTAGGACCTCAGCATCCCAGGGGGCTACCCGAGGCGCCCCCGGGAACACGGTGATGGTGGCACATCTTTTAAAGCGGTACTACACCGATGTTATTGGGAATGTTAAGGCTCAGGGCTGTACCTGGGAAGGGTTGGAAGTTAGGGACACTCCTGAAGATGAGCCTAAGACAGTCACTCAGGGTGGACAGAGGGACCCTGGAGTGAGTGAGGACAGGCTGCGGCTGGAGGGCTCAACGGAAGGCGAGGACAGGGTCCTGTGACTGCAGCTGCAGGGCACAGATTTGGCTTCTGGACGCCTGAGTCACCGGAGGCTCCCTGTCTGCAGTTACCTCTCCCCTGGAGGAAGACAGGGCAGAGGCTGTGCGGAGGAGTGGGTGGGGCAGGGATGATTCCATTTAGACACGTGTGCAGAGGACAGCTCCTGGGGTTTGGTCCTCTGAGCAAGTTCGGAGTGCCTGGGTTGTTTAAGGTACCTAACTCGTCCATCTTGACTCCACCCTTTCTCATTTCCTTCAGAAAAAGTCCCCCACCCCCACCTCTCAAATCCCCCATGATGGAGTCTTGTTATGTTTCTCAGGCTGGTCTCCCAACTTGAGATCAGCGTCCCTCCGTCTCTGGAGTAGCTTGTTCTGTAGGCTTGGCCACTGCAGGCTGGCACCTCCTACTTTTATTGGGAGAGTCCCATAGACCAGCTGCTGTTAGCTGCCCACCTAAGCTGTAAGTCACCGTCCTTGGGGCTTCTGTAGTTAGAGGGCTCACTGACCCCAGGATTGCCCTTCCAGGATGCTGGACTCTAGAAAGGGCTTTTCCAGCTCCCCAAGTTGAGGCTTGCTCACTTTGACTTGAAATTGGTTGGCTAGAGCCTCACCGCAGATATGTGCTCCCTAGGAGAGGTGCATTTAGCGTTGCGGGGAAGCTCTTTAGAAGCTGAGACTCGCAGCTGGGTGTGGTGGCGCACATCTTTAATCACCGAAGAGGCAGGCGGATCTCTGAGTTTGAGGCCAGCCTGGTCTACAGAGGGAGTTCCAGGACAGCCAGGGCTACACAGAGAAACCCTGTCTCGAGAAAACAAAAACAAAACAAAAAGAAAGAAAGAAACTAAGACTCTCAGGCCTCACTCAGCGCTTCCGAGTGCCCCCAGAGGTTTGGAGCAGTGACAGTTGGGAGGCCCAGTCAGACCCTTGGAGACCTCCTCTCTGAACTGCACTTCCTGTCAGAGCTGAGGAACCCCCACTAGAGCAAAGTTCCCCGGTGGGAGAGTCAGGCAGAGGTCATGTGGCATTCCAGCTGAGTGAATTTGCTGCCCTTTGGCTGAGGGATTTGCCCTTGTTGGAGGGTTACCAGGCCATCCCACCCTTACCTCTGTGCTCACGTTCTCTCTTCTGCTACATTCGCCTAGTGGCATCAGGAAATAGTCCCCAGCTTCTCAGCTCTCTCCCTTGTCTGCTTTTGCAGAGGTGTCCTGCGCACTGTCAGGGCTGCTGACTTGGGTCAGTCCCCACCTGACTCACGGTCTCTGATGTTCAGCTGGTTTTTAGTGCATGCTCTGGGTTCGCCGTGGCTTTTTTTTTTTTTTTGTCTTTTAGAGACTTTCAATCACCTTCTTGTGTACCTACTATGTATACTCTCTATCATTGCTTTAAAGCATACTTGAACTTTTTAAAGTTTCCTGGTAATGTGTCCTGCTATGCTGGTGGAACCTCATCTCTCTCCTAGGGTCCTATTCTGGCTTTATATGGCCCATTTTTATTTAAACTCAATGCAAACTTTGCTTTCCAGAGACTAAGAGTTTCCCATGTCATTTCTGCTTGCTAGGGAAAACTCCACTGTTCTCAGGCAGTTCCGACTCAGGGACTCTCTGATCACTCGGTGTTTTGTTGCTCCCTGGGTCTCCAGAGCATATGAACCCCTTTGAGGTGTGACCCTGGTTCCCAAAGCTGGGAGATGACTGTATGGCAAGACAAGGAGAAGGGAGACTGAGACGGTCATCTGGTCATCATACCTGGATAGTTTGTCAGGGTCTGTGATGGATTGCATAGACAACCCCATGCATGACCCTCAAGGCGCTGAAACCCTCCAGTTGCCCAGTACCGTACCTTGCATGCAACACATTCCTCTCATGCTTGAGGTGACGCTGACTTAGCAAACCTGCACCTCCTGCATATAGAAATGTGGCGCGTAGGATGACTTACAGCGCCAGATACTTGATGAGAATAACAGGTCACTGTTGTGTACCTACTGTGTGATGTGCTTTGTTACTCCAAAGTATACTTCCTACTTCAACTTCGAAAAGTTCCTCCAGAGTGTCCTGCAAGGCTGGCAGAACCTCGCCTGTCTCTAATTTGCCCTGTCTCTTGATAACTATCATTTTGTATTGCGTTTAGGGTCTTTTTGGTGTGCGTGTGCACGTGTGCTCATGCGCCCACGTGTGCGCAGGTGTTCATGAACATGTGTGCACTTGTGTATGGAGGATAGAGATTAGCACTGGGTTTCTTCCTGAATCGACCTCCACTGTATTTTTTGAGACAGGGTCTTTACTGAGTCTGGAGCCCACTAATTTAGCAGCTAGATTGGCTGGTCAGCAAGCCCCAGGGATCCTCCTGCCTCTGCCTCCCCAGCCTTGGGACTGAATTTCCACACCTGACCTTTCCATGTGGGTGTTGGGATCTGAACACAGGGTCTTTCTTGTGCGACAAGCCCTTACCGATGGAGCCCTTGATTGTGTTGTTTTGTTCACTGTGGCCCTGGATGCAATAGGCTATATACTATTATCATGTGTATGTGATATCCACATAGACACACCGTGGAGCCCAGGGAAAGGAAACCATGCCCTGTGCATGTGTGTGAGGATTGTGTAAGTACACGCTGTACCTCCTGCGTTGATGAAATCACCCGGTGAGACATTTGTCAGAACGTGTCCCCATTATTGAGTGACATATGTCAGTGTTGCCTCCATGACCTTAATGTTTGACATGCATAGCTAAAGTTCATGTATGTGTGATTACTAGATTCCAGAGGGTGGAAGGGAGTAGAACCCACATTACTAGGCCTTCCTTGAATACTTTTTTCCTTGGTATTCAACTCAGGGAGCCATTCCCTGGTCACAGTGCCTGTCACTAGCCTGTCTGTCCTGTCCTGCGGAGCTGCTGCTTCCTTAGCCTTGGCCTTTCCCAGAGCACTGATATAGGCCTTATTTTTTTTTTTTAAACTAAGACCTTCTAATTCAGGGCCATGACCTCTATTACTTCCTGGTTTTTTGGCCCTGTCTTTGAGGCAGTATTAGACAGAAATTCCATCTTGGTTAAATGGCTGGGACCAGCTATTGCCGGTTGGCATGGCACTGGGAAGGCAGTTGGCCATGGGAGGGGAAAGTTGCCTCCCACCCCATCCTCTAAAGAACAGAGCCTCCACGGTAGGGACCTTCTCAGGGCTTCCCTAGCCTGCGAAGTCTTGGGAGACTCCGTTCCTCAGCATGGTGAGGAGAGGATTCCTAAGAACTCGTGAGAGTGGGAGCATCCGATGTCTCCAAGACCGGGGAGCCCCTTCCCCTCTCATCTTTCTGATCAGCCTCAGGAGACAAAGGGAGGACTGACTTAGGCCACCATCAAGGCCATTCCAATCCCATTCCTGCGACAGAAAGTTGGTTCTGAAAGAAAATCATTTCTAGTTTATTACTCGAATTCAAAAGAAGGCATATGGGTAGCATGTTTTCAGAGTTCTTACCATGGGCAATCATCTTCTCTAAGGTGGTGTAGGGAGGAGAAGAAGTGTTTAGTCTGCCGTGGAAAGCGCTGGCCTCAGCAGAGACTGATGCTGAGCACTGCCGGCTAATCCTGTGCCCCGTTCTTCAAAGACCGCTGAGTATAGGACCAAAAGGGACAGGGTAGTGGTTGAGGTCGTTTCTTTGCTTTCTGGAGATTGCTCTGGCTTTGAGCGTTTGTCTTTAAGCTTCTAAAATGTTAATTTGTACTCGGGCACGGTGTTGCACACCTTTAATCCCAGCATTGGGGAGGCAGAGGCAGGCGGATCTCTGAGTTTGAAGCCAGCCTGGTCTATAGAGAGAGTTCCAGCCCAGCCAGGGCTACACGGAGAAACCCTGTCTGGAAAAACCAAACCAACCAACCAACCAGACAAGCAAACAGGTTAATTTGTAAAATCAAGATGGTGGGAGGGGGAGTATGTTATTCCTTTGCAGTCACTTTAAGAGCTAGCCACGCCCACCCCCCAGCCACTTCTGACCTCTCCCCTCGCCATCTTTCTCTCTCTTGTGTTTGTCTCTTGTTGTGTGTACATGTGTCTTTGTTTTTCTCTATGTTTTTCTTATGTCTCTCTGTTTTTCTCTTCTTTAAGCAATAAATGTTTCCCTCTTCTTTAAATAATGCTATGTCCTGTGAGCCTTTTATCCGCCGTAACCGCCCGCGCTGCCACCCTGGAGATCTTGCAGGGACCCACAGCCATCCTTGTCGGACTAGCGGCTGCTCTGTGAGCCGCCCGGGGCATCCCATCATCATATTTCTTTTTAAAGAACAATAGAGTAGAAGAACTAAAAAACGGTAAGTTCATCCTAAGTCCCATAGATCACTGTGTTTATAGTCTTCAGTTCTGGGTCCAGACCCTTGTGCACACGAGACAACCATCCTACACTGATCTGGACTTTTTTGTGTCCCTTTTTAGTTGTTTGAAAGAGGGTCTTGCTGTGCTTCCAAGACTGGCCCCAAATTCCTTCCTGGCCTCAAGCAGTCTTCCTTCCCCAGCCCCTTACGTGGCTGGTAATACAGTATGGGCCATTGTGCCTGGCTGTCTTTTTCATATTATTTGTTTATTGTTTGTTTGTTTATATTGAGGCAGGGTTTCTTGTAGCCCTGGCTATCCTGAAACTCACTCTGTAGTAG